TACACCAGAAATGTATAAAAAAAAATAGAGATTAACTTTTGAGAGCATTTTCTTATGTAGAAATAGCTGTTCGTGTTCATGTTTGGTAGGAGCTGAGCGTTGGGGGCTGGAGCCCCATCAGCTGGATGCCCAGGCTAACTTTGTTGCACTTATGAACGTTTGGACTTGTGAACCCACTCACAGAACACAACTGGTTCGTATTTTGGGCACTTTCTGAATAATGAAACCAAACTTCTGCAATGCCCTGTGTGTACACCAGGTGTCAGTAAGTTACCAATGAACACAGACAGTACAGAAGACAATTAATAGTGTTAATCATGGTGGTGGCACAGTGGCTAACCTTCAGGTTTGGGGAAGCAAATCTTGCCTCCGCTCTTTGCGTGATGAGTTTGCATGTTGGGTAGTCCTGCATGTCTTGTACGATGGCTTGCAAAAGTATTCAGCCCCATTTGAAAGTTATAATTGAAAAAGATTTGTACACATTTGTCCACTCAATATTTTTATCATGAACTCGCATGCTGTAACAATACATTTCCAAAGTCAAAATAAACCATTTTTGTAGTTATTTAGCTGAAGAAGAAGAACTCAGAATTTAGTGTTTGCATAAGTATTCAATCCCTACACCTTAATATTTTGTCGAGAACCCGTTTGCTGCAATAACAGCCTCAATTCGTTTGGGGTAAGAATGTACCAGCTTTGCACATCATGCCAGAGTGATGATGTGCAAATTCTTGCCAGAATTTATAGAGATCCTCCAGGTTGGTGGGGCCGCACCTCTGGACAGCAGTTTTAAAATAGTGCCTCAGATTCTCAACAGGGTTAAGATCAGGGCTTTGACTCAGCCATTCCAGAACATTCACCTTTCTGTTTTTGAGCCATTCCAGTGTTTCTTGGGCCTTAGGGTCATTATCATGTTGAAAGATGAATCTTCTCCCCAGCCATAGGATCATAGCAGACTGGAAAAGTTCTCCTGCAATATTGTGTGTTATTCGTTGGACTTTTAGAGGCCTTTAGTAGACGTTTTGCTCTCATGCTTAGTTTTGAGGTATGGCCTGTTCTAGTAAGAGCCTGGGTGCTGTGATGAACCTTCCAGCAGTGATTAACATGACATTCGAACTCTTCGATATTTTTCTTGCTTTGTGCGTTTAAATGTCTTCAGCAAAATGCTTCTTTGTATACATGTATGCAGTGACAGTCAAACAAAGACAATGGTCCTTTCAAAGGGCACTTTTTATATCCATAGAGAAACATCAAGACTAAGTAGTAGCTAATTATGTTTAATTATGGTCTAATAACTGTCACCTTTATGTCGTTTGTGATTAATTTGTCATTTGTGCAAACGTGGAGTTTCTGAAGCACAGGGGCCTGAATACTTATGCAAACAGCACATATGATGTTTTTGTTTTTATTTTTATCTTTTTCATGTTAGTGGACAACTGACCTATTTTGGTGTTTGAAAATATACTTGTTCTATACATAAATGTTGTTTGAGAAAATTGTGTATATGTATTTTATCCTCCAGACGATCATCATGACATTCAAGGGGGTTGAATACTTTTGCAAGCCACTGCAGTCCAAACACTAGCTGTTAGGCCAAATGGTGAATTGCCTATTGTGTGTGATTGTGTGTGCGTGCGTGCGTGCGTGCGTGCGTGCGTGTGTGTGTGCGCGTGCGTGTGCGCGTGCAAGTGCACCCCAGCCTTGTGCCCTTTGCTGCTTGCGATAAGCTTCAGCCACCACTGCCCCGTGACTCCAGTTAGGATGCAGTTCTCAGTTATACATCACTTTGGATAAAAATGTCTGCTAAATAATAATTATGGACAGATGGATATATTAACATAGTGGTGTGCTTGGACATTTTACATTAATAAACTAAATGACCCGATGAAAAAACACCAAAATGATCAAAAATATTCATGCATCACCAGCACCTCCTGGTTATTAAGTACACAACTGAGAATCGTAACTGTAACCTAATGCCAAGTTGTCTTTGCCAACCTTAATCGTCATTCTAACACTAAACCTAATTCTAACCCGATCCCCAATTCCATCCATAATCTTAATTCTAACACTAACCATAATAGTCAGCCTAATTCGGAATTTCTTTAATCAGTTTATAACATTTTGCTTTGGCATTAGTCTCGTTATTAAAACATTTTCGTGTTTTGATTATTCTTATAGCTTAGGAGTTTCCATAAAGTTTTCAGTATGAAATTCTTCAAATTAAGGTGATTGGCTTTACTTTTGGTTTTATTAAAAAATGTGGGGGTCCACGTCATGTAAGAGGTGCCCTTTTTATTTATTTGGTTCTGCAGTTCAAACAGCAACTGCATGATGCATTTTGTTATTTTTAAACAAATTAATTGAATGTATTGCTCATGATTATGAACTCGGATGCATTGTTGAATGCTGTAACAATTGTCAGGGTTGTGTTTTTTTTTAGGGATTTTGTTGAACCATGGAGAGCAAGGAGCAGTGTGCCGTGTTCTCTATTCCAGTGTGTCCATCCACCTTGAAAAGGCGCACAAAATGTAATGCTCTGTAGAGCGTAAGCTCCTAAAGCCTCTCAGATTGGGTAGGTACCGTGAACCGCCAGACTTCCCAGGGGTTAAAGGACAAGCATTAAAGGACAAGATCTGAAGAACATGCTTCGTGATTCAAAGAAAGGAGCAAAGAATACCTAGGAAGCATTACAGGGGGCTGCGGATAAAAATGTAGATGAAATTCAGTTTTTGAAGGAGACTATCAAAGATCTTGAGCGGCAGCTGAATGAACTCGGTGCCAAATCAGAGGAGAAACTGGAGAGGCATGCAAAACGCTGGCCTCTTTTTTCAGGTAGGAATAGTTCTTACATCTCTTATATCAGTAAGCCTTCAATTCACTGAGTTCTTTTAATTTTTGTATTCTCTTGTATAAAGAATCCTCTCTGATTTATAAAACTATAATCATTTGGGCTGACAGATCCAGAAAGATCCCGGAGAAGCTGAAGCAGAAAGGCAAGCGTGTGGGATGGCAAACAGCACCCACCACTGGCAGACCAGAAATTCACCGAATCAACTACAATTTTAAGCTGGATCAATGACCCTCAGACTAAGTCACCATGTGCAAACATTTGGTTTATGTGGTTAAATTTGTACAGAATGTGTAGAGAAGCAAATAATTATTCGCAGACAGGAAGTAAGATTCCGAGAAAGTGAACAGATCTATCTAGAGCTGACCTTCAAAAACCAGAAGCACAAAAAATCATGCAAACAGACAGAATTCTGGACATTTAAATCAATACCTGCTGAATTTAAACGCATAAGTTGTAGTTGTGACTATCAAGCAGTATTTTTGATTTTGCTTACAGGGAACCTTTCTAAAGACTCCATTAGTGCTGAGGTGAAAAACCTTTGTATTGGCTTCCTGGCTGCGCAAACCTTTTTGTATTTAGTGGGCACCGAACAATTGTAGTGAGAAACATTACTGTCCACGGATTCAGAAACTGTCAGGAGGAAGGAAGAAATTAGGTTTCTGATTAGAGTGAGTACCAAAAAGCTGTATACAAGCACACCTGAGACCTATATCATGAAGCAAGATTTGTTGGTTCGCTAGATATCTTGTCATAATTAAGGTAAGTGTTTCTCAGACTAGCCTCGGGACCCCCAGACAGTCCACAATTTTGCTCCCTTCCAACTTCCAGGGAATTGGGAAAGAGCAAAAACAAGAGACACTGGGAATGACCAAAAACCAGCCAGGTAGAGAGGGGAAGTGACTTTCTAAATGTAAATGATGTAACATCATACTGCTAATATGTGCTAGCAGGCTCAACAAGTTTCACAGTCAGCCAACTGACTGGCCTTGCTCGAATTCAGAATGATGTAAAAATTGACAAGAAAGTGCTACAAGAATTTCAGATGTCCATTTTTGACACTAATCCCATTAACGGGATAACTCAAAAAATATTTGATGGATCTTGCAGACATGTTTTATGGGGAAGATCTGCACCTCTTCAAATTTTGAGACAAATTGCACAGAAAATTGAAGCAACTTAGCTGCTTAGCGACAGCAAAGGGACTACAGAAGACACTTGACCTTGTGAACATGGCAACTCAAAAAGTACTTGATGGATGTCATTTCCCCTTCACAAAAAAGAACATTATATGGATGAAGACCTATACCTGATTTAATTTGGAGTGAAATCAGTCCAAAATTGAAGCAGTAATCGTGGCAATAAAGGAAGGAAAGGGTGACTGCAGAAAGTACTTGATCTCATGAACATAGTAACTCTGAAAGTATTTTATGTATTCTTTTCATTATTATGTGGTATTGGTTTTGTGTGATTTTATCAGTTCCAAATTTTCATGTGAACAATGTCTACAGAGCTTGAAAAAGATCTGTCAAATACTCTTTGAGTTAACATGCTAAGGAGACATGTGTATGTGGCAGCAGCAGTGGTTAACCGTTCACAAAACCATGTGTATTCTGTTTCTGAGGAATACAATTTATCCAGCAAAAACCAGTTACACCTTCTAAAGATATAAACATTTAAACAAATATCTTTGACCCCCAAAAGAAAAATTAATAATTAAAACACATGCCATGCTGGCATTCGCATCCCATGCATCCTCACCTGACCCAGCAGTGGTTGGGTCAGGGCACTGGGACCAGGATTGGGCTCTAGCCCAAGACCTGGAGTTCTACAGACCCAGAATTAGTGGGGTCAGTTCTCAGGAACCCTGGTATGGTTCTCAATGTGGATTTAAATGTTCTAGTTATCTAGACTGTGCCATTCCCCAGGTCCACAAACTCCCAAGGAAATGAAGGAAAGCCCTAGTTACCGGTCCAGCATCGGAGCCTGCATCTCCAGTTTCTGGCACAGCAGAGAACCCTGCTCCACCCAAGTTGCCCTTTCCAGATGACCAGATTGACAACTTGTCCTCTGATCTATGTGAATGGACTTGCTCCAACATCTGGCCAGTTGTCAAGCACAGTTTATAGCAGATCAGTTTTAAATTGGCAAGTGGAAAGAAGGTTGTTGCACCTTTCTCCTGTGTTGGGCCCCCAGGAGGTGGACAGGGTTAAGAGAACACTCCTTCAGGACTTGGCATCCAGCACCCAGCCCAGAAGGGACTGCCACCTCATCAGAGTCCTGAGTCCCCAGACAGAAGGGGCTGCATCACACGTTCCAGGCATAGAGGAGGTCAGTGGGTTTCCCTCACTGTCAGCGAGTGCCATGCCTGGCTATTCTTCCAAGATGAAGCGGAAGAAGGAGACCCACTTCACCAACCCGCTTCACTAACATCTCCTGTTCCAGGCCCAGAGAAGCCCGCAACATCTCCAGAGTTCTGCCCGGGGGAGGCTCCTGTGTCTCCAGCCTCCTACCCGAGGGAGGCCGCCGAATATCCAGAGCCCTGGCCGGGGGAGGCTGCCATGTCTCCAGAGCCCTGTCCAGAGGGGGCCACCAAGACCAAGTTCTTAGAGTTCCCTCCCTTGCTTTCCCACCAAGTCCCATTCATGCCTCTGCCCTTTGGTTCCCCAAGTCCGTCTTCTGGTCCATATTATAGCTCCCTGTGCATCTTGTCTTCTTCATGTGGCTCCAGTTCCTGAGTCCTGAGTTCCCCAATCTTGTCACCCTGACCTAACTCCTAGTGTTCCATCTGTCTGTCCTGATGCCCCCTTTGTTTGGTGCCCTACTCCAGTCTGTCCTGTCTCTGGGTGTTGTTGGGTGTATCTCTGTGTTGTCATGGCTCGTGTTTCCTATTCTCCGTGGTCCTGGCAATACCTCGCATACCCGGTGTTTGCACATTAGATGGGGGGTACTGTCAGGATCAGTCCCTTTCCTGTCCCCTATGGTATGTCAGTTCCTCATTTAGCCAGCAGGTGTCGCCAGCCATCCAGCTATTATTAGCTCCTAGTGGGTTTGCTCCTGCGTTGCTTGCATGTGTTGCTCTATGTTTGCTTTCGCTAGATGTATCTTATGCATTTGTTCCTGTGCTGCTCTCTACTTTAGTTCTTGTGTTCTACCTACCTGCCTTTATTAGACCCCTCTTGGTTCCTTTTGTTTCTTGTTTGTTTTTGAGTTCAATAAAGTTCCTTGTGTTTTTTGAGCCACAGCATGGATCGTCCCTTTGTCCTACACCATGCTAGAAGTAACACCGTTCCCTCATTAAAACGATAAAATAATGACAGAAATAACAGCAGGATTGTATTTTTAGATTCTTCAGTTTATTTCATAAGAACATCACCAGGCAGTAAAGAATTAGAGAACAACCCTGCCCAGGATGAGCATACGGAAGATGGATGGATATGAATTATGATGAAGCTTGATGTGCGGAAACATTCCCTGCATCATCATGCCACCAGCAGCAGCCTATTTGACATGAGGCAAGATACGACTCAAGGGATCATCCTATTTGGTGACTGAAAGTTTTGTAACAACAACAGGTACAGGATTTGTTATGTATTATGGGGCTAATGTATCACAGAGACCATCATGTGTGCTTTGCCTTCATAAAAATTAAAAAGCAGTCATTTATAACTGGAAAACACAGCATTGAACAACTATGGATGTCTATTTGATAAACATCAGGCCTTTGAAATTATATTCTAGGATACCTTTTGCTTATTGGGTGACTGCAAGCACCTGGAAGTTATCCATCTACATTTTTGCTGACAATGCAAAGCTGAGGAATCAGAGGAGGAAGTTTGACTACAAGCCTCTCTGTGTTGTTAGGCCAAGAATGAAAAGTAGACTCAGCATTTGCTTATACGTTGCCAAAGGGGGATAATTAATGGTATTATCTACAGCTTTTGCGATTTGTTGATGCTTGGAAGCTGGTTTTTAAATACATGTGCTTAATAATAATTTTGCACCTTTTAATGCTATGTTGTGGACCCACAGGATTGCCCTGTGTTACTGCCTTGTGTTACTGCACTGGGGAAAACCACAAAATAACTGCACCATGAGGGGTCAAAAACGAAACCAGGGAAAACACAACTAACAGAACCATAAATACATCTACAAAAGTAACTGGGCGACACAGAGAACAGAACTAGGCAAATGGGCAGAGTAACAACATGCAGTAACATAACACATAGTAACATGAACACAATGACTGACTAGAGAACAGCGCAGGAGCAGGCACTAATGGGGGGGGGTAGGTGTAGAACATAAGACAATCAACCAAACAGAATGGGAGCTGGCAACAATCAACAGGTGGAGTGACTAATACTAATGAGCGTAGGACTAGGGATCTCTAACAAACACTGAAACTCAGAAACATTAACCAGACACTGGGAAGACTACATTAGGATAATTCACATGGAACAAACATATTTACAAGACAAGCAGGGCACACCTATGGCGGAAACACAATAGAAAATAAACACTGGAGAAAACAAAACCAGTAAATAGATGAGGGCAGTCTCAAACCCATGACCAGAGGATTATAGTCTATTAGTCACACACCCAACCCATTGAGCTATGTGGCAATTCAGGATACACAAGGGAGGGGAGATATGGGATCACCAATGACACCCGCTGGCCAATACGGGGAAAAGATTAACATCATACCCAGGACAAAGCAATTGCAGGTTAAGGACTTCGCTCAAGGGCTCAACGGAGTAGGATCACTTTGGGTGTTCATGGGATTTGAACCAGCAACCTTCCAGTTATTGGCACAGATCTGTAGCCTCAGAGCCACCACTCCATCCCTAAGCATTTCTTATAAACCTTAGACAGTCATTCAAATGATAGAAACCTTGTTATACAGTGACAGAGTGAGCATCACTTCCTTGTTATACAGTGACAGAGTGAGCATCACTTCCTTGTTATACAGTGACAGAGTGAGCATCACTTCCTTGTTTGAGGTGACAAA